GCACCCGACCGCCCGTCCGCACGCAACACGTAGACACGCACGCACGCATGCACGTACGCACATACACACACACGCATCTGGTACTACTACAGTAATGTACCTACTACGATTTGTATTGTTTTGTATTTTGTGGTGAGGAATTAACATATTTATTATTGTTTACTATCACGATGTTTTTTGTGCAATTACTCCACTAGTTTGTTGAACGCAGAGAAGTATTCATTTGACCCGGCTGGATTCGAACCAATGTCTTCAGCATACCAGGCAGACGCTCTCCTAACCAAACTACGGAACGAACCAGCAAATCCCACGAACTTTTCTAAAAAATACGCTTAAGTAGAGCTCCTTGTGAAAGAGTTCGTCTAAGGAAATATTGCCACATAAACTATTTCTGCCGTCAAGCAGTAATGTGAACTGTGTTTTGGTTTTGAAGAGCAAAGGTGTTTTGTGACGGGACGAGCAAGTCGTGTGCCTGGTGGTAAGCGACACCGCTGTCCATAACAGTTGCAGTGCCAGTCACTAGCGCCCAACCCTAAATTACAAGCACACGGGACTCGGCAACTTATGTCTCAGGGTGTCTTGCGTAGTGGCAAGACATATCTTTGTGATTTATAGCGCTGAGTGGCATTGCAATTTCTATTGAAAAGCGTGTACCACCAGGCGCACGCCATGTTCGTCTAGTTTCTTGGTATCGTAGTAAAAATATTTGAAAACGACTTATTATTACACGTAACCAACCAACATCAGTGTCGTTATGCCAGTGTCGGCTAATGTGAAAACACGTAAGGCGTGGTGAATGTGGAATGCCATACATTTACTACTAAACGTATTTTCATGGGGTAGATAGCACGACGCGATAACGATAATGATAAGGGAAATAAATGTTTTGGTATTACGGTAATTTGATGAATGGATTATCAAATTCCCCATATTTATTTATTTAAATTAGCGCTATCTGTTTTATTAAACCACATATTGTCATGTTAGTCATCGTGGGGTGTTAAGAATATTCTCTTTTTTCTGCAATATTGAGAATGTTTTGTAAAATTAAATTAAAACAACGTCGAATTCGAAGTGTTCTCAGTAGATTTAGGAAACTAAAAAGTTAAGGTAAACGGGTTAAAATAAGAAAAAGTAAAAAGAATATTACCTATTCTTTGAATAAATTTCAAGTTTTATTTTATTAAAATATGCCTAATTTTTGTTTCAAATAGATTAGATAAAAGGTTAGGACGAGCCATTTTGAAGTGATACGCGGACTTTATTTTAAAATTATTTGTTTATTACGTAATGTGATTGTAGGTCAATGCCTAATGTCCTCTTTTTGACTCAGTAGGTTGGGATTTGAAATTATTGTCTCCGTTGAAGCTTAACCAATTATTTAAATTGTTTTTCAAATTCGTCATACTTACAATATAATAAATCGTTAAACATGATGTTCATTTCTGAATGACTTAATTGCATTATGTACCCAACCAGCGCGCTAATTGTCAAAGGTAAAACCAAAACCTTAAACCTCGCCAATGTGACACGTTGCCTACATTTCGTATCGCGCTAACTGTCAAAACAAAAACCAAAACCGAACAAAAAGGAAACGTTTGACGTGTGACATGTTACGCACATTTGGTATCGCGCTAATTGTCAAAGGTAAAACCAAAACCTAAAACGTTGCCAATTGGTATCGCGCTAAATATTTTAACGTTTGAACCACTTATGTAACCTTGGGGAAATGGATTTACCTTTGACAGGTTAACGTTTCTGTGGTAGTTAATGGAGAGTAACTTTTCACTACGTTTATCGTATATTAAAGATGTTCCACGGTTACTTAAATGTTTCGGGAAGTGCTTATGAGGTGGATGTGGCCTAAGAACGGGCTTTTAATGAAAGAAAAGCATAGAAAGACGATCACATTTAATATGTCTGAGGAGAAATTCCGCAAACGATATACCGTTTTACCACGGAATTCATTTCAGGATTGGTGGAAGAACTATGCCTACATATTCCCGTTAAAGGACGGTCTGTTGCATTGGATGTGGAGACAAAGGTAAGGGTTAAGTGAAATCCGATAGTTCTCAGTTTTGCATAATAACCAAATTTCTATACTGTGTAAGTCATTATTAATTTTGTTACAGATTTTAATAGCTCGTATTGTTATATATATTTTAACAACTGGGGCGTACCAGACCCCCCGTTGGCAAGTTCGTATCACACTTTCCCAAGCCAGTGTCAGTAAGGCACAAGCGGTAGCTGCTTCAAATAAACCAGTTATTATGAATGAATATGCAGCTTTCCTAAATGGCATGCTGAAAGGGATGGTATTAAAAGGTGGTGAGAAAATAAGCTTTAAATGTACATCATCTTTGTTAGTTCTTGTCTTATTTCCTGTTATTATTATCAAATAAAAATGACAGATATAGGTAAAATATGTATAGTTGTATAAAAATATATTACAAGGTTACAATTTATCTCTTTTAACACTTGACTTAATACAATATATCGTCCCCTTACAGTGAAGCCTCACATATGCATTTTCACAGTTTGTTTTTACTGATTTTTATTGAATAAAAATTAATAATGTAATATTATAGTATCTAAAAGAGGTATAATTTAAGTAATTAAAATGCTAACTACACACATTATTGCATTTACTATACTTTACACCATATTTTTATCTTCATCCTGAAAAATTACATAGAAATCCCATATGAGGTATTCATTCTAAGATGACGATGTATACCTATTGTAATTGTTTATTACCTAAATATCTAAATAGATGTATACTTTTAAGAGGTTGAAATAAAAAGAAGAGTGTATTTTTAGTTTATTTATTGCCTCAATCTACCCCAAATCATCCTTCAATTCTAAAGCGATCTTGCTTTTATTCTTCAAAGAAGTCGGAAACAAAAATATGTATATAGTAGTAGTAGAGTGGAGACCTAAATTTAAGACTGAGCCAGCCTATGATGAAGGGTGGTGAAGCTCTATACTCCTATGTGTAGTCTTGCTTTCTGATAAAGAACAATACCTCTCATGAGAGTAGTGACAGATAAAGCAGGATGGGTAGTTATATACATACAGTATGAAGCCAACATAAACGCCAGAATGTTTAGGGGCCATTTCAAATTAGATTTAAAAAAATGTTTATATCACTGTGGAAATATAAAGAGGACAAAAGTCTACAGATTAGACCTTCGTTCCTTATGTTCTTTCAGATTTCCACAATTGAACATATCATCAGCAGGAATTAAGAAAACATGTTGAAAACAAACCTTAAATATTCTATCAAAGGTTAACTGCCGGCACCAACTCGGTAATTGCTTTGCAAATGGCAGCTACAGATTGGGCATACAGATCATCTGCTTTGGCAGAAATAATAGCTGCCTCAGCCAGCACCCTGCCAGCATTCACTTGCTGCAAGAATGCTTCGCATGCTCGCAGCTCCTCAATGCATAAGAATTCTACCCGGCTCTGCTCCAACGCTCATTAGCTCGCTGTCAACGAAATAATAGATGTGATGTAATAAAGAGTGGGAAAGAATTTGCTCAAATTGAAAGTTACTTTGTTTTTTAATTAATAATAAAGAGTGAGAAAGTTACTTTGTTATTGAATTGTATGTTTGAAGTTATTTAGTTACTTTGCGCTAGAGTTGGTGTCCTTTAGAAAGGTTGAAAGGGCCTCTGCCGCAGTCGTTGCCGCCGTCGATGTGGCGTAGATTCTCACCCTGCTTTTCATACCATTCCATACCTGAATAACAATAATAACATTGCATATTATAGTGATATGAGTTCTGGTACAATAACGGTGAGTGATCCACTCACTGTATCCTATTACCTCTCATTATGACTCACCTTTTGGGATCTATTGCGGGGCTACAAAATAGCCACACACTCGCACCAAAGGGGTGCTGATAACACGCGCGAACAACGCCGAGCGAAGTCATTCTCAAGCCAAATCTTTGTGCGAATCGAACTCCAGCAAAGATGGAGCTGGCTTATAGTGGTCGCTCGCCGTCCGACCACATCCACATTGGCTGAAATACGAGCATCATTATTAATTCTACATTGCTAACATTTCGAAATTAATAGTAGTTAGCGTACCTATTTGATTGTATAAAAAGATACTATTTTATTAAATAGAATATTAAAACAGGAAAACAATGTGTAGGTACTTGCCTCTGCGTGTTTTATCTACAACAATAACACACTAAATTCAATTAATTTGGCTCAAATCACAACTCACATGTTTGTTTACAATAGAATTTTATGACATTTCTTTTACACACTTCTTTAAATCGCTCTTTTATAGACTTGAATTCGTAGATATTGACATTTCAGTGCGTTTTACGGCAAATTTTATCGGTTTTCAGGTAGTCAAGACACGTCTCTTAACGTTTCGTATGAGGTCATAGTTTTAGGTTTTGTTGGGGTTTTGGTTAACCCTTTAAAATTAATAGCGCGATTGCATTTTGTGCATCGGTAAAACCATTTATTTACCAAAACCAAAACCTGTACCGTTGAATGGTTAAACCTTTCGAAAATAGCGCGATTGGCCCCCTGGAAGTGCACTGACACGTTTACCCGACACATGTCTGCCCGAAAGCATTCGTATCGTGTACATACTCATCATTTTTTGTCTGCAATAGACACGACATATCTTCGTAGCTAGATCCGAGATAATTCTTGTCGTGTACAAGGCCATTCTCGTCTTTTCTGTTGCAGACTCGACGAATTTCTTAGCGTATACACGCGCCCTTAGTTTGTGAACCTTCGTCGACATGTAGTTTTATGTATACATATTATACATTTTCATTTTAGTAAAAACCTTAAAGTTATTTGTAAGTTGTAGTTCTTCCATGCACATTTGTGTGTAGGTAGATGTGTCTAAATATTGAATTTTATTGTTATCTGTGTAAATGCCAGTTAGATATGTCAGAATATGTTTTTTCGTGGTTAAGTGCATAGGCGTAATGTAAGTTATAATAGGCAAACTCCGTTTTTTGTCTATTTCTTTATTGATGGTTTAGTAACTAAGCCTGCAGGACCCTGACCCACAACCGGATTGAAACCAGCCACGGGAACAGCACGTAGAGGTCTGAAAAAATTAAAAATGTGTAGGTAAGAGCACATCAAGCTTAACTCTGGAAATTAAGGCGACATCTACCAAAAATTGCTTGCAAAAATAAGCCCACTGTTGCAGCTAAGTATTCTCTTTTCACTACCGACACTAACATCTGTCGAATAGCAAAGAAGTTGCAACGCTGTGCTCAAGAGGTTCACTAAATTTACACTAGATGGAAATTTTAGACTTGTAAAGTTAATAGTACGCATATCTACCGCAAGAGGGCATTTATCAACACTTAGTAACTCTAGTGGAACAGTTACGCCAAGTAAAGGATAGATGGCGCTTGCATAAATTGCCTGGGGGTTTGTTTAAATATATCACAATAGCTTACTTGAATCCAAGCTCTTCACGAGGTACGCCGAGCTTGGCAAGTTTTGCTTCGTAAGTAGCCAAAAGGTCGTCGTGGGCTTTACGTAAACGTGCTGCTTCGTAACGAAGATCTTCCACTTGCTCATCTTTCAATTTTAGAATTTCCTGAAAACAATTACTTATTTGTATTATTTAGCCCTAAATGAAATTCTAATTAGGCATGATGAAAAGACAAAGTGCTTCAGTCACTTCCCACACGTCTATCCGAAAATTATATCCTTGCAAGCTAATTGTACTCAAGACAAGTTTCAAGAAACGAGCGTTACACAACTTACTGAAAGTTCACTAGGTCCACCAATTTTTGATTCCAAATTCATAACTTTCTTTTCAAGACTGTCGGTTTTCATTGCTGCTTTCTGATAAACTTCTTGGATAGCTTTAGAGAATCTTGACTTTAACTCGTTTCTCTCGCTCACTAGTTTGTCAAATCGCTGTTGCATAATTTCATACTCCCACGTAAGAACCTCGAAGTGTTTTACAAGTGATTCCAGCTGTTTTGTTTTAGCCTGAACAGAAAACATTACTAATTTAATAATGTGCACCAACAATCTGTATAGGTAGATACAGTCAACAGCACATCAAGCGACTTTGTTCGAATATTGTCTACAGTGCAACGGAACAAGATCATGTTAGTTATGCACATTTACTTCGTTCATTGCGCAAGTCGTTGTAATCCAATCTATAGTATACATACAATAGGTAATCTTATCTGACTAGATACTTCAATATGGAAATTTAATTTAGAGACTCGGTTCTTTAGTGCCAAAACTAAAGAAAATAAGAAAAACCAAATTGACTGGAATTGAGTCTCGACAGTAACATAACGTACAATAACCGTAACCGACGGGTTAATTGGATTACGATTTTCTTTTTTTACGGATACTAAATGTTTGCCCAATTTATTTTTGAATAGGTAAATTGAGTTAGACATATAAAATTAAATTAAATAAAGTAAAATTCTCTGGCCAACATTTTGTGAACTTTTAACATAATGTTGTTCTTAAAATATAAAATAAATTACTCACTGCTAAAGACGCTTTGTCCCGATCGTAATTAGACATCTGGCGTTTAAGTTCCTTATTTTCTGCAATGGCTATAGCAAGAGGTCCTCTTAGGCCCCTCGTATCTTGATTTGCATCTTTTGCAATCTTTTCTGCTCGCTCTTTCATATTTTGCATTTCTTCCATTTGCTGCCTCAAACTGCTAATTAGACCTGAAAAATTTTTAAAAACCTATACTAATACCGTTAAATTTTGTTTATATTGAGTTAAGGCGAAATGAATTTACCTAGATTGTTTAAAGTGATATCGTTGTAATAACTTTTCAGATCCGTATATGCCCTTTCGTGATAAGCCACCAAATCTGACAATTGCTTATTTTTTCGCTCTTCAATTTCTGCAAGTTCAGTTCTATGTTTAACTATCAATTCATATTTGGTTTCAATGAGCTTATCTTCTGCTTTCTTTTCTATTACTTGTGCTTTCAAATCAAATTCTTCTATTGCTTGAGCTAGCTCTTGAGCTTGCTTCTCTTTAGCCCTTTTCAACTCTTCTTGAGCTGCGATAACTTTCTCTTTCGTTTCTTCTCTGAGGTGCCTTTTATCACATAATAAATTTAACTCCTGTTGGGCGTGTTCTTCTTCAGCGGCTTTTAAAGCTACTAAATTTTCAGCTTTTAAGGTGGCTTCAGCTGACTGCTGTTCATATATTAAAGTTTTGATTCTTTGCTTTTCTGTTTGCAATAATGCTTCATTTTGTTCTTGTGCTTCTTCAGTAGCCCTTTCTTTATTTTTTAGCTCAGCGTTAGCTTCTTCAATCTGCGTTTTTGTTATCTCCCAGAAAGTCCTTATTTTGTCTCTTTCAAGCTGAAAGTAATTCCTTTCTTCTCTCTCTTTGTCTAGTTCCTCTTTTACTTTGGTGGCAAATTGTTCAAGTTTTTCTCGAGTCATCTCCATAGTATCGACGCCATCGATGACAATCGCTAAAAACCATAACAACGAACATTATTGACATATCCGTTAAAACAATTTACATACAATCCACTATTATTTTACTAATACATACACAATGGTTTTTTGACAGCTTTTCCTTCCTTTGGCGGCTGAAATTATGAATGAAATGTTACATTTTTACAATAAATTGTGCCAAGCAAGACAAAATTCGGTATGGCTAGTCATATTAGGGCACACGTTAGGAAATAATCTCAGAGGGTCGCTGTTATCGAAATCGATAAGGAGGACTACATGTACCAGACAGAGAAATTCACTATTGTGACATTATTCGGAATACCCTGACCAGAACTAATTTAGAAAAGTTCATTTCCCAAACTGCTCTTATCGCGAATTGAACCCGGGGCTGCACCCAGCGCCCACAGCACATACCGTTGGGCCACTAAGGTCGTCGATTAAATGTTTTTCATACAAAATGAATAAAATTGACAATTTTTTTTAATGCTGATAGACTCAGTTTCACGAAAGATTTTATTGATTGTAAGAAAAGAATCGGACGTAGAACAGTAGAAGTTGGTCAAATTTAATAAAATGTTACCTATGCATTCTGTATGAAAAATCATTATAATAAAGTAGGTGTATACAATAATTGCCACTTACCATGTTTATGCTTTTAATTAGTGCGAGTAACTAAAAAAATTGATTTCGTTTCGTATCAAAACGTATTGTAACAAGTTTCCATTAGATTTAAAAATGAAAACACAGGCCTTTAATAAGAAAAACTTTTGATTTTTATGAACATCTATTTCAACTTGGTATTGATAAAGCGTTGTCAAGGTAAATGATGACGACCGGTGTAATTATTATGACGATCACAAGTTGGTTGTCATGACAACTATGGATACTATTTTGTAGCGAAAAACTTTAATGTACTGTCGTTGAAATGACCCATGCGCACTGCGATTCAAAAATCGCAATGCAATGATGAGCGTTTCCACATTACTGTGCACGTTTGTATTACGCAACCAAGCATATAATATCATATGTAACCGTACTCGAGAATAGCGTATTGACCAGTCAAGGGGTTTACAAATTTTCGATATTCGCATTCACATTGGTTAGGTAAGTCCATAAATTACTAACGATAATCTAACCATTGTGTTTTTATGCTCTGCTACTATTTGTTATTTATTATTCTATGACAAAATCGAGAAATAATGTTGCCAGTATTCTGGGCACATTGCCCCAGGGTACGGTACACCTCGAAGAAATTTTCTGTTTTTAAACTCTAAAATACTTTACTACCATGTTGAGCTTATTGCTATATTATTATCAGTTAGTTAGTAAAAAGCCGATCAATAATAATAATAAGGTGCACACGCTCATCGACCCGCACCAGGCAAACCCTGTATAGCGGGTGCCATGAACACACACATGGACAATCACAAATTACACTGAAACTCACGAGAGAAATAATAGGGGTTAAAGTATGAAATTGCCGATTTGTACTGAAAATCTAAATTGTTTATTTTTTAAATTTTTAACAAATTTATTTAATCAAAATAGTTGCCATTATTATCTATACATTGCTGCCATCTAATGGGAAGGTTATTAATGCCTTTGCGATAGAACTCCGACGATCTAGACTGCACAAACTGTGTGAAAGCATTTTGTATTGCCTCCTGGGAAGAAAACTTCTTGTCACGTAGATAATTGTCCAAATCACGAAAAAAAATGGTAGTCCGTTGGAGCAAGGTCTGGTTAATACGGAGGATGACGAATGGTTTCTAACTGCAGTTCCAGAAGGGTCAAAATGGTTTCTCGTGCTGTGTGAGGTCTCGCGTTGTCGTGGAGCAATAATGGTGAAGATCGATTCATGAGTCGGGGCTGTTTTACTGCTAGTTTTGTCAACATGGTTCAGAGTTCGGCACAATAGACATCTGCCGTTATTGCTTGACCAGATCGGAGAAAACTATAGTGAATAACACCATGCTGAGACCACCAAACAGTTACCATTACCTTTTTATTGGTAAGTTTTGCTTTAGGACACTGTTGTGGCATTTGACCTGGGGTCAGCCATTGCATTTTTCTTCTCCGGTTATCATAAAGAATCCACTTTTCATCACATGTTACAATTCGATCCAATATTCCTTAATTTCTGTACCGGTTCAACAAGGCAACACAAGTTTCAACACGCGTTTCTTTCTGCAGATCAGTCAAATCATGAGGCACCCATTTTTCGTATTTTTTTATTTTATTGATATGACGCAAGTGAGTCAAAATTGTGGGTAAGGTAACGTTAAACCATGCCGCTAATTCCTGGGTAGTTTGACTAGGATCGGCTTCCACTATCTCTCTTAATTCATCGTTATTCACCTGTGTGGGCGGTCTTCCTCGTGCCTCGTTCTTTAAGTCGAAATTTCCATCACGAAAGCGTTTAAACCAAAATCGCACGGTGCGTTCATTAGTAGACCCCTCTCCAAACGCAGCATTGATATTGCGGGCTGTTTCTGCCGCGTTAGTTCCGCGTCGGAACTCGTATTCAAAAATCACTCGAATTTTCGCAGTATCCATCTTTCTTGTCTAAATTGAATAACAAAAACAATTGAAAGTCGATATTCAAATGTTTCAAATTAAAAAAAATAAAATCACAGAAACCATTTGAAAAAAGTTTCATTCGAAAACCTCAAACCATGAAGATTCTATGAAAATTCAAAGAACCTATTGGAATAAAACGGCAATTTCATACTTTAACCCCTAATAAATGTAGGTCATACAAATATTTCTCCCGGCACGGGAATCGAACCCGGGACTACGTGGCAGTCCGCCAAGGTAACCGTTCGGAAGCAGTTAATTATAATATTATGTACGTAATCGAACCACTTATTTTATTTGTAAAATGGCTAGCACGTTCTTCTTCTTATCTTCCTTATTGGCGGTGCCCTTTTTGGATTTCGCCTGTATTGAGTTTTCCGCTTAGTAATTTTCGAGACTCAGCAGATTGTGCTTTTCACAGGGGATGGTGAGCTGAAAAATTTTCAGCTTTTTTTTTCAAGTACCTACTATAAATACAACAATAAGCAAACTCGTCCGTTATTTAATGGTATTTTTTAAACATCGAGCGAACGCTTGAATTCTGCCATATTAAGTGGCGCTTGTGAAGGCGCGCCCTAGGTACTAGTGTTCACACACAGCGCCGGCGGGTTTGCACACATACAAGCCGCGCTGCTACATTTGTATGGAGTTATGCTACTTGTTTTATCAGCTTGTGAGAATTGACGCAATAAAAAAGAGATATATGTCCTGCAGTGAGTTGGTGTGCACAAGTCGTGCGCCCGGTGGTAAGCGACTCTCCAATCCATAACAATTGCAGTGCCTTTCAGAGTATTAAATCGCAAAGATCTGAGGAGCACTACCGCTGCGCCCGTCACCCTGAGATATAAGTTGACAAGTCCCATCATGCCTGTAATTTCACCAGCACCCTTACTGCTCGGCGGCAGAAATAGATAAGATGGCAGTACTTCCCTGGACGAACTCTTTCACAAGGATCTCTGCTACTACCAAGTATGAAATATGCCTCATCTAAATTAATTATATCCTTTAATACGGGTACTTTCTTAAATGTTACAAATGTTGAAATGCTTTCTATGTATAAATATCATTTTAATGTAAACAACTATAAAAGTTCTGTCCGGAAATTATTCACTAACAAATTCAACCGCACAAATGAGTTTGTAGTGTCGTTAAGCAGCTGAATAAGGTGTTATTTTAACAAGATTGTAACATACAATAATGGCTACTTGTCAAGCAATCCCTGGATGCAAGTTTCTTATAACTCATGCCTCAGTATTTCATTGCTCGTGAATAATAGTAATCGTCGTAATTTTAATTGTATTTTCTCAAATATGTTCGAAAATGTTTGCATTACTTTCAAAAAACGAACATGGAAAGTTTGACTTCAATTCAAGGCCTGCAAAGTAAGTATGAAAATCCATTAGGCTCAACTCACACTGGCGCAGAGTCGAAGCGTCGCGACGCGTCATGTTTTTCAACTACAACGCCTGGCACCTGACGCCTGACGCGCGTCGACGCGTGACGACGCTAGCAATAGTGCGTTGAGACTTACTGTCCTCTTCTCTAATCTTTTAAATCTACCTATTATGAATGAACTATGTAAACAGGCAAAAGAAAAACTCATACAGTCAATTGCCTAGTGTTCATAATTGGGAGAATTAAAAATCCTGTACCGTTTACTTAAAAAAAAAAACGAAATGGCGTAACTTTTCAACCAACAAACTTAAATACATTTAGGCTTCTTGATTTAAACTATAGTGTTTAGGTAGGTATTCTTTTGTTTTGTCTTTTTTGTATTTTGGTTGCGAAAACGAGTGCTAATGAGAAGAGCGATCTCGTCCAGCAATCCCTTACGTCCCAGCCTCTACAATAATGTACTATTTCATCACACTTGTTCGTAAACAAAGTCGACCGTAATGTCCTATAAATGGGCTTTTGCATTACATTATCGCCCCATGGTTTACGTCAAGATTAATCAAAAAGTTCTTTTGCTCGAAAAACCTGAACGTATATTTCGCACATACTTGAAGTACTTATTAAAAAAAACTAAGCATTTACAATATTTTTACTAAATTTATTTTATGTATTCAAAATCTGCGGTATTTTAGGATATGGAAATTATTTATTTTCTATATTTAATTATTTATATCTATACTGTGCAATATATTTTAACGTACTGCATTAGTACATGGCGCCGCAAAAACAATATTGTTGAAACTTGAAAGGCTCAAATTATGTTGTTAAAAAATTTGCCTTTTTAAGCCTAATTTATATTCGACGGAAAATTTATACAAGGAAGTGAATTTGTTAACTGTTAGATAGCTTTATTTATTATCCATTACACTACATCAACACTCCAAAACACCTCGCCAAAACCGCAACATTGAACACATAGGTACACGGGATTTTTTTAATAAAATAAGTGTATTAAATCAAAACAAGCTACACAAAACTAAAATTGTTTTATTGTTCAAAGGATACTGACAAACCTTATCTTTCTCTAATACTGTATCTAATATCTTAATTATTATTTTTTCCATTCTTTCCGTAAAGTAAAAGACAAAGATTTGACACCATACAGCCAAGTCTTGGTGAAATTTTCTTTTTCTTTTTATATTTAAAACTGCAAACTTGTTACGTTTACATTCTCTTTGTTCACGTCTTTATTCACGTCAGCTTTGGCACACGATGCTGACAACAAAGTTTTAATTATTTGCAGTGATTTTATGAAACCCCTTAAAATCTAAATTTTCCTCTATGTGTACCTCCTCTTCCATGTGCTATGTAATTTGAATATATTTAGATAGTTTCCTCTTGGATGCTGAGCGAAAAAACAGCAAAATGTGGGGTTTTCAGTTTAATTTTGTAATGTACTCAGTTATTCTGTTTAGCCTATTTGTAATAGACTATGCGCTAGGAAATGGTTTAGTGGATACCATGCAAAAGTGGTTTTGTAATATTGTATGCTTCGTAAGGAGTGCTCTGAAGGAAGAAGATAAGCATTTTGCTCAGGTGCCGGGGGCCGAAGACAAAATTAATTTATTGGTGGTTATAGGGGAAGTAATTGTGCTGTCCGTAACTATGATTGTAAGTTTCAATTTTAAAAGCCACCAAACTAATAATTGTCCCTGAGAAAATCCTTTAGACCTTAACTACTTTCAGCTCTTGAAAAAATATAAACGGCGGCGTGGAATAGACCGCATTGATCAACTCTTGCAAGAAAGCAAAGAGGCAATACGCCAAACCAATGAATTTTTGGAAAAATGGCGTTTGAGACGGGTTAGTTCTATTTAACCATTCAAATATTGAGAGACTACTATACCTCTTTTAAATTATATTATTAAAAAGTTGCTTGCTGTATTTGGTGCCTAACGAAACGGAATTTATTACTTACAGCTAAACTGGTATTTGCCACCAGATTATACCTATTTAGATGAAGAGCCGCAAGAGATCAAACCCCTAAAATTGGAGGTGCCGGTTCTTCATATGGCTATTATTGATGTACGTCAGTCAGTAGATGCACATAGCAAGGTTTACATTGTTTACAAACTTTAGAATAAAAAATTGGAAAGTAGATTTTAGACAAAGACAAATTGTAGGTGTTGTAGCAGTAAAACAAATAATTGTTCTAGAATTCTATGGTATTTTTGCCTTTGCATGTAGTGTACGTACTCGTAGGTATATAAATATTTTTAAGCATGGCTGTTTTACCTTACTTTTCATCAATTTATTTTTGTGCTTGAGAAACATAACATTATTACAGAGGATATACAACTAACTATACAAGTGCATTTTCATAACCGTAATATGTAATTTGGTAAGAAAAGAAATGAATGTAAAAGCGAATAAGATGAAAGTATATGCTATGAAATTACAATTAGTGGTGAGAATTCAGAACAGTGGAAGAGTTTGAGTATCTAGGTAGGTAGTCATTTAACGAGAGACGATGGAAAATGATGATGATGATGTTGAAAGTTATAAATTAGAAGGCTGAAGCTTAGCACGCTTTCATGGATAAGGAACTGTGGTGAATGGTGGATAAAGCAGAAGAAACACGAAAGTTTGGAATGGAAGAATGGTTATATAGAAATGTGACGTATTACGTGTGGTAACTCTGAGAAGCACAAAGAGTTATAAAGTGTTATAAAATAAGGTATGTTGTGGGTGAAATGGAGTACTTAACTAAGATAGAAACGGTTATATCATGTGGAACTGTGGATAATAGTCATAGCAAATGATTTACGACAAAGTTTGAGTTTCAGACTATTTTGTGACCGCAATTTAACTCGGTAACATGTCAAGATTAACCGTTTGTGACATAGTTTTTTTATGGTGATTAAAATAAAACTTTATTAAATTATTAATTAACTTGATCTTTTGCGGTAAATTATTTCTAGAATAATTACCACAACTAACGTAGCCATTTTAATGTAATTTTGATACAAAATGGTCAGTCCTGTAAAAGCATGCTTAAGGCAATTACAGTTTGTTGCCTCTGAGGTACAAAAGTTAAAACTACAGTATTAGCGGTATGCTAATATAACTGATAATTGAGTTGCAACCGTTTTGCAGACACGAGGTACAGCCAGAAGTCAACCGGAGAGTGGTGACGCCGGAGATTCAATCAATTTCACAGATTCTGCGCTTCTTTCTGTTTCGTCTATAATGGACGATGATTCTGAATATATGGCTGAACAAGGCGTTGAAGAAAAAATCAGTGAAGAAACGCAACCAAAAAATTTAGAATTCCAGAATCGATATTTATGGGACGTCATGGAAGAGGACTCTAATTTGGAAGACTAATAAAAGTGATCTTTTGTGCAAAATTCATGTAAAATGTGAAATTAATTGTTCATATAGTAATCGTTCGACAATCAATAAATTTTTTTGGATGTATTTGTTACGTTAAGTGTTTCAATTAGTCATTTGGCGTTCAACTAAACCTTACAAAACAATACTCTTGATACCAATAATAAGTAGATACTTTGTGCGTAGATACGCACAAATGCTACTTTTATCCTGTAATCCTCAAAAAGGTGTCTGCTGTACCGCACACTTCGAGTGTCAAATGTTCATAATAATGACAGGATAAAGGACCTAAAAGCCGGCAGATATTAATTTATACCACAATACACTTATAGACATAGCTGCCTAAGCTCATAGCTGTTAGATTTAAGTTTTATGTGTATAACATTAGAGCGGTATTCCGAACTGCGCTTTATTTTCGATTGATAAGTTATTAACTAGGGTGGGCATTCGTATTCACTTTGATGTCATTTTGCCAGCAGGGTTACTATCATGTGATGTGATTAAAATCTACGATAATACACCAGTCTTAAATTTGCATCCAGGTAACGCTATCGGTACATCTACAAAAAATTAAATTATGTAACGAAAACCGACTTGGAAAACATGAGTTTTTATATTTTCAGATCACAGAGTCCCGGTTTGACTAAGTGCCCGTTATGATTTTTAATTTTCTTTTTAAAAATGATATTATAAAAAAAAACAGTACTATATATTGCCTATTATAATTTGGATCCCAAACATTTTCAAACAAAAGACACGTGTCTATTCCAAAATGCGGTATCGTCGTCCATTGATCGAGACGTAATTATAGTATAATGATGCGGTGCAGCGATGACGCAGACTTTATGATGGATTAGACCCACGCCTTTCTATTTTGTGAAGCAATTGCTTTTTAGGGTTAGTTACCCCTTTGGTGAGAATAGGATAATTACCAGTCAAGATTTATCAAGACTGAATGGCACTAATGCATTGATTCTGAATTTAGAAAAAATATTATTAAAAGTGAATTATTATATGTATTTTTAATTAACCGATTCTACCCTCTATATGGTTTCTACTTCAAGAGATTTAGAAACGGGTTCGATGGTTAGACGGGCTAGGCGGGTTCCATCGTTTATCACTTTATCCTTTGGTTTGATATTTGGTATCGAAACCTTGGCTGGAATCCTTTACACTTTTATTTTTAATTTATAAGTAGTTTTTGATCATTTGTCTGATATAAATGGTTTATGAAAAATAATGCCCATAGGCTTTTCGTAGGAATTGGCAAGTGTGCTAAAATTATTAGTATTACACTCATCACTTATATATACACTTTCGTCATACTTCTCATTCATTCAATATATTTACGAGTATTATCGTTTTACTAATTTTCTACCTCTTTCGAATTTCTAGAGATCAAACAGTACTAAACATAATTAAACAATGAACTGTGAAGAGTTCAAAACCTAAGTATTAAAGCATCTAGTCAGAAAGTATCACCCAAGATGATCACCCTGGCGATCCATTTATCACTCACCAAACCTTTTTGTCCCGTTCTATTCAATACTTTTTGTGCGGAAGATTAAATTTCGCACGTCTCGTTCGAGGTCCAAACCATTAATACTTCACCACCAATTTTCAGAGAGCTCCTATTTCTACCTCAACTGCAGGTAAACATCATGTATCCTGAACAACTGCGAGGGTTCAAGTAATATGGTCATGTCTGTCCCCATCTCGTCATTGACTTTTTTATTTTTAGTACGTCTGGTGGGTGTTACATTGATTATGATTTTTGCGGGTTTCTGAATTATTGATACAAAGGGAACAAAATCCGTTGTAGATGATACATCTATACAGTACGCTTATGTTTATTATTTACAAACTGTTTGGTGGTTTCACAAACTTTTAGATTATTCAAAGAAAAGCTGCAATTATGTACGATAATATGACATATCATCAACACCCTAAAAGCAAATATTATTAGCATTATGTCCATCCAAACTTAACAATAGAAGACAAATTACACAAAAAGCCAATACACGATACCCAACTAGTTTTAACACCAAATCAGTATATTGTTTGGTATAAAATATGTGTTTCAAGTACACAATTTCGGCTCTATCGTACATTCACTAAAGTCTATTTCGGTATCAGTGAGTTGAGACACGCATTTACAAAATCAAAATTCAACCGTTTGAAATAATGATAGGTAATACGACTAGTATTTGTACAAAGTATGTTTAGAACATAATCGTGGCAATGTGGGGTTTATTGAAGTGGTTGTGAGTTTGAAAATATCGTAGCCCTCTCGCCACGCGCTGGCCACGTGTAGCTGAAGAAAAGCGAAAGCGTTGGTTTGGAATAACTACTTAAATGCCGTCATTAGGGATTTGATTATATTGTTTAGCACCATTGTTTGCCGAGATAGGATTTGTAATAGATGAGGGTATGATTTGAAAATTTTTGCTTGTACATTTTAGCGTTTCTTTTCGTCTTAAAGTGATGTTAAAAAAATATTCTTATTTGAGAAACGATAAATACAAATACACATAACATTCATCATCCAATGGCTCTATGTGTAGATGGTATATTACAGGACAATCAAAACCTTGTCTTTTGTATACGTAATATAAACTATTTGATAAGCTTATACTTTCTACGTAACATTCTTATTGAACCTTAAAAATAGCTTCCCACATTTAATCATCAAATATAATTTTAATTAATTTTCAGCACGTGTCTCTAAAATTAGCTCTTTTGTATAGTATAAATGAACGTGCAATATATGAACTCAGGTCGTTTACAAAGTTTACAGATTGGGACCCTCCAGGGAACAACACTGATGCCGGTGTTGTTCATTAAATAGTTTTAAAATCATTTAATATTTTTGACAATACCCGAATCGCTTTTTAACTGGCTTAATATAATATACTCTTTTTTGGAATAGATTATGGTATTTCGTACCAAACGAGGGTTACCACCTGCTGGTTATAGATTATTAAAGCGATTATTGAAACTTCTTACACGTTTTGTTCCAATATTTTCGGTTGTAAATAATAACCTCGTCAGTAAGTAGTTTTTGAATAAGTATGTTTAGTTTGCCCTGATGATATGCTTAAAAATCGGTAAATATGTTACAGCCTTCGCGTCGTAGAAATTCTAAAATCATACAATTTCAACTTGCAATTAGTCTGCGTGAAGCAATGGTATGGCTATCTATTTCACTCATGTTAATTTCCTATCTTTTGTATCGTAATTTTGTAAATATATGTAGTGTCTATACTTACATTGTTTAATTCTATTAAATTCATCTTACGACTTTAATTTATAATAAGTCTGTTTTGCTGTTTTGTTGCCACTAACATCATGTAATATTATTTTCAATATCACCGATCCGCGATTACACATTTGTAAACATGACATCAACACTCAGACGTTCACCCTCACTCGTGCGAGATATTTGCATGCATATTGAATGTCCAGTGCCTACTGTGCCCACAATTAGGGGATGATTTTACAATGCATAGAGTAAACATGCTTTAGAATCGCCATACGAGATTCGAACGTGGTCCGAGGCGGTGCGGTTCCTATATCGTCGTCGTCTATAGGCATTCCAAATTCGTCTGCGTGTGTAGCTATTGTGTATGGGAATCACTTTCGTTGCAGATCTCTTTACTACAAAGTTGAGAGGTTAAACACGGTGGTATTAAGCAACGCATCTACAGCACCTCAGTCGCGATACAGTAAGCTGCGATACATTCGCAATGCAAACGTGATGCTATTGCCATGCAAACGCGATGCAATCGCCATGCAAACGCGACACACGTCTTTGATGATTCAACATAAGCGACTGCATCGATATAGTCGCGCGTTTGCATCGATGCCACTGCTTATAAATCGCTATGTAATCGCGCGTTTGTATGGCTGGTTAAAGACGCTGTATTTAACCGCTCTAAAATTAAACTATTTACTTCGCAAAAGTATGTCAACGATGAAATTATTTAATATAGGTACTACGGAGTACAAGCCGTGATATGTGACCGTTAAATTAAAATATATATATATATATATATATATATTTATGCACTTTTTGCTATTCTGGTCAATAATTGAATTATTGTAAGTTATGTCTGTACATATTCTAACCAAAGTACTAGATAATATGTGTACTACTTACTTGGTGTAACGGGCTATTGTCCGCAACTCGACGTCAAGGCGCCTATTTTGCGTGTGGTAGATAATATGTGTATATATTATAATCTAGTAGACAACATAACTGATTTTGGTAAGTTTCCATGCAAAGCGGTAGGCTGTTTGTAGGTTTATTATCGTTATCAAACTAAAGCCTACAATTTTCGAGATAATGCAGATTAATTTGTATTTTAGAATATGAGTGAGTTTAAATAATATTATCTGTATTTTGAACAGAGAATGGTAAAACTTATTTTGTAAGTTTACTTAAGAACATTAAAAAAGGTCATAATTTGTCATTCAGTTCTTATAACAAAAAAAACATATACCTAAACTCAATTTGTCACTCCGCAAACCTCAATTTCATAAACTTACAACAAGGAAATATAAAAAGGAGAAAAATAATGTTACTTATGGTAACAATCGGGGTATATACATCTCTGGTGTTACGAAATAACACGACGCGTCGATGTGTAACAACCCCTTTATGTTAATATAAAAGGATATTACACGAATATGGAATATTTTTAGACTATTTTCTATTCCATATTTATTTACATATCTTTTTCTTCATCTCTATCTAAGTAGGGAAATCTAAGTATGGAAAGTTGATAAATAGTCTTATTTGTAATTTTAGAGCGGTGATAGCTAGTGGGAGACCGGTTGCTTTTTAATTGAAATGCCCACGGTTTGAATCTCTGTCACGGCATATGACTTGAATTTGCAAGTTAGAGCGATGCGGGCTGCGGCGAAACCGGTGCGTTGCATCGTTGCAAACGCTATGATTTCCATGCACCGAGTGCCACACAAGCAATGCGATGTCGCAACATAACACTATTTCCTCTAATAGGGAGGGTGCTGTAAGTGCACCCGTGACCGCTCA